AAGTCCATTCATCCTTCGGTTCACGCCAAACCTTACTAGAGCGGCTTTGTTGAAATTGAGAGAATGTGGATTCATCATTCCACAAGACTTTCGACCAATCCGCTTTAATCCAGCTTTGATGTTCTAAACACCATTCAAGACACACCTCAATATTTGCTGGTAAATTTAATGGTTTTTTTCTTGCAACACAATTTTTTAATCCAGCTGAATGGAGGGTTCGTCTAATTGTCTTGGTCAAAACATCTTGCCCAGTCTTCTTCTTCCAAAGCTGTTGTATTCCAGCTGCACATAGATGACGATTTTTAGTTTTATCATTAGTCACGATTCGTTTAAGGCGATTTCGTTGTGGGATTGGAATTAAAGGCGAACGTCCAGAATGATGCATCGATTTGGTTGATCTGGTATTACAATATCGATTAATAGTATTATGAACAGTTGACACTCCGCAGTCAACAGTATTAGCAATGGTCCGATAACTATTACCAAATTGATAGCAATAAATTATGGCTTCGCGTTGTTCTGCAGTTAATTCTTTAGTTTTTAACATTTTTTTTTTATTTAGAGTTTCGGAGAAGAAAATTTATTAAAAAAAAAATTAAATTGTTATTTTTTTATGTTTATAATATAAATAAACACTAACATGTCATATGATCGCAATTTGTTATTGCGGTCATATGACTTTTCTAGCATTAATTCGCGTTTATAGAGGGTGTGCGGATACTTTTGTCTACTCTCTGTATTAATGATATTATAAGTATCATTAATGCAAACTTACTTGGCAATATTATTATATATTGTGCAATGCATTCTTCTTATGAATACTTATATAACAAATTACAAGAAAATTTGACAAATATTTTAATAGATTATTTTCATGGTGGTTTACGTGATGAAGAAAGAGAAATGGCAATAAATAATTGGAAATCTGATTATACACAAATAATGATTGCAACATCTGCTTTTGGAATGGGAATTAATTCAAATAACATAAGTGTGGTAATTCATATAGGAGTACCGATAAGTATAAGTATGTATATATATATACTAAATTCAATTTATTTATTATATATCTTAATTATTATATTATTTGCATTTTGATAGCTAATCTTATTCAGGAAGCAGGATGTGTAGGCCGAGATGGAAATACAGCAAAACATTTTATTTTTTTTAATAAAAAGGATATTCATATAAATTATTCTATAATAGCAGAATATCAAGAAACGTTAGTATTATATTTTACAAATTTTATGTTTATTATAATAGCTAATTATTATTTAATATAACATTTGATAGTGCATCCATTATTACAAATATTAAACAGAAATTAATTGATAAATTTGAACGTGCTACTAGAAAAATTTTTGAAGTCTTTTATTATTGTATTTCATAATATGAGAACTGTCAACAGCTAATTTGGCAGTATCAAGCATGACCTAATGAAATAAAACCACATGAATGTGAAACATGTAACAATTGTATTAATCGAAATCCCAACAAACCAAAATTACTCGATGGTAAAAAAGAGATTATAAAACTATTAGAAGTAATAGAATATCTTATCCAAGAAATAGATGAACAAATTGGCCCGGATGATATAATAGATGTATTTAGAAGTGGAAAAACTATAAAAATAAAACAAAAAAATAGAATAATTTACCAATATATTCAACCGAAAAAAGAAAGGTATTGAAAACAAAGGAATCGGTTCAGTTTGCTTTAACTGATTTAGTTATTCACAGTTTAGTTTAAGAAAAGATTATATTACGAAAACTGTTTTAAGGTAGCACTAGCTTATCTAGTAGTATTATTATAACTGGTATAATACCTGGTGCATAAGTAAATGCTAATATGCAAAATTGGTATTATTTTGTTAAATAAATTATCATAATTTCTGTGGAAATTATGGTTAATTTTTGTTTATTATGTTATTGTTACACAAAAAAATTAGAACGATATTTGTATTAAAAATGATCAACATTCACCTTACCCTTAATGACGAACCGTTTAAGCTAACAAGTAGTGATTCCTGCCAGGCTATTTTTTGTTGATAATATACACAACGAACCGCTGATAAACTAACGAGGTGTATGAATTTTGAAGAAGTTGAATATAATACAACTGAACATATTATTAGGCATTATTCTAACACTAGTTTAAATGTAGATTATACTTTACTTTTGGTGTTATTACTCACCCCCAAATAATAACCTTACAGATAGTTCATATACTTTTGGGTTTGGTTTAACTTTGAACATCAAGGTGACACTTATTCTGCAAGAACTACTATTGCATTTAATTTATTTAAAAACCTATATAATACCTGAATCAGAATATCGTGATGAACGATTAAAAAGTGTTATTGTAACAATACTTTCTAGTATCCACTACTGAGTCATACCAATTTTTATTTGACGTTTTATATCTATATATTCAAGGCGTAGCATTCAATGCCAACTGTTTTGAAAAACAAGTTATACTCTCTATCTCGAAAAGTATTTACATTGAAATATTAGATCAAGATTTACTACAACTACAAAGAGACAGACAATTATTACATCAAATACTTGCCTCACCAATCCCTTCTGCTAATAGTTTATCTAATTCAACCACTGGAACTTTACCACCTGAACCACTGGACTTAATAGCAGCAACTGGAGACCAAATAAGAGAAGCTTTAGAAGAAATCTTTGGAACAGGAGGAGTTCTACTAAGAGAAGAAGTACATACTATTAAAGTTGATTATTTTAATGGAAATGAAAATGAAGATCCAAGTGAATTGCTCACTGCATTTGAACAAGCAGCTATTACAAATCGATGGACTACAGAAGCCAGAAAGAAAGCTATCGCTAGAAGACACATGAAAGGAGTAGCTGTAGACTGGTTCGAAAGTGTATCAGCTGTTAGGGTTCCGCAATTCGATTTGACATTTGAATATTTGATTTGAAAATCAAATCAAATACAAATTCAAATTTAT